TCATTTTGCTTTAGTTATGGATGCTCTTATTGGACATTCATCGGAGGATGTACATTGGTGTATGCTTTTAACTTCTGATATCCTTCTTGTGGATAAAGAAAAACTTGAATCATGGAGGTTTACATTGAAGTATAAAGGACTTCATTTAAGAAGAACTAAAATTTAATACATGAAATGTAATTTTAATAGTAGTAGCTCTAGTGATAGAGTTGTAACTATGAGTGGTCAAATTATTAAAATGTGTGAATGCTTTAGATATCTAGGGTGTATTGTTCAAAATGATGGTAATATAGATGGGGTTGTTATTAGTAGAAATCAAGTTGGTTTGGTTGAAGTGGATGAATACTTCGGGTTTATTTTGTGATAGAGAAGTACCAACAACAACAACAAAACCTTTATCCCACTAAGTGGGGTCGGCTACCTGAATCTTTTTTCTCCATTGCGCCCTATTTAGTGCCATATTTTCATTTAATTCTAATAAATTATGATCTTTTTTGATACAATATGCCCAAGTCGTCCTAGGTTTACCTCTGCCTTTCTTAACATAGGTCGAATCTAAAACATCTACTCATCAAATGGTCGACGTTTAATGTGACCAAACATCTAAGACGAGTCTCTCTAATTTTGTCCGTTACTGAGCTACACCAACCCTATCACGAATATTTTCATTTCGTATTTTGTCTCTAATTGTAAAGCCATTCATCCCCTAATCATTTTCATCTCGACAACATTTAACTTAGTTTTATGCTTCTCTTTTAAAGGCCAACATTCAGTGCCATAGAGCATTGGAGGTCTCACTATCATCTTATAAAATTTTCCTTTCAGTCTAAGCGATACTTCTCTATCATACAATAGGCCCAAAACATTCCTCCACTTCAACCAACTCACTTGATTCTACTAATAACACCCCCATCAATATCACCATCACTTTGAACAATAGACCTAAGATATCTAATGTGTTCACATCTTTTAATAATTTGATCACCCATAGTTACATTTCTGTCACTGTAGTTACTACTACTAAAATTACATTCCTTGTATTCAGGTTTAGTTCTACTCAAACGAAGGCCTTTAGACTCCAAGGTAGACCTCCATAATTCAAGTTTCTCATGAGCTTTTTCTCGTCATATCCACGAGAAGGATATCATCAGCAAAAGCATACACCAAGGTGCATCCTTCTGCAAGTGTCTAGTAAGACCTTCCATAACTAAAGAAAAAAAATATGGGCTTAAAGCCAATCCCTGATGTAAACCAACAGCAATAGGAAAAAATTGGTCAATCCTTCTTCTGTTCAAACACAAGTAACAGTTCCTGTATACATATCTTTAATGATTTGAATATAAGTCATATCAACACATTTCTTCTCAAGAACTTTTCCAAAGGAATCTCTTAGAACCTTATCGTAAGCTTTTTCTAATTCAATAAAAATCGTATGTAGATCGTCCTTATTATCTCTGAACTTCGCCATCAACCCTCTCAATAACTGTATAGCTTCCATAGTGGACATACTCGACATAAATCCAAATTGATTATGAGAAATCTTTGTAATACGTCTTAACCTATGTTCAATTACCCTCTCCCATACTTTTAAAGTATGACACATCAACTTAATTCCTTAATAATTGGCACACTCTTGTACATGCTTTTTATTCTTAATAATAGGGACCAAAATACTCTTCTTCCATTCTGCAGGCATCTTTTTAGTTTTTAAAATAATATTAAAGAGTTCAATATGCCAAGAATCTCCCAAATCTCCTAAATATTTCTATACTTCAATTGAGATTTCATCAGGTCCTACAAACCTTCCACCCTTAGTTTTCCTCCTCAACTTCTTATTTACTAATGTTACGATAAAATTGAAACATTATTTATTATTAGTGATAGAAAAGTTTCTCTTAGACTAAAAGGAAATTTTCTTAAGATGTTGTTGAGACATGCAATATCCTATGGCGCAGAATGTTGTCCTTTAAAAGAGAACCATAATATTAAGTGTTTCCAAGATGAGAATGCTTAATTGGATGAGTGGCTTTATGCTTAGAGACAAAATGCGAAATGAACATATTCGTGATAGGGTTGGTACAGCTCCTGCGGCGGACAAAATTAGAGAGTCATCTTAGATGGTTTGGTTAAATTAAACGTTGACCATCTGATGATCCGGTTAGGAGAGTAAATGCTTTAGATTTGACTATGTTAAGAAATGTAGAAGTAGACCTATAAAAATGATCTTAATTTTTTAATATGACACTTATTAGGACGCAATGAAGGATTCATGTAGTCGACCCCACCTAGTAGGATAAAGGCTTGTTGTTGTTGTTTGTAAGATTGTAATGGGCATACCTCATATTTGAGTTTGTAGATCGTACTTATGGACTGTTCAATGTACATGACTTCAATACCAATTAAATTGGGTTCGCATAAGCTCTACAAACCCATAAAAAATCAAAACACAGGTCTTCTATTGAATGTAATCGCCAATTTATGCTAAACTTGAGCTTATTATCATGCCTACAATTTTTTTAAACCTAGACGTTGTTTGGCTTGCTTTGTTTTTTTGTAAAATGTAAATCATTTTAAAATTTTTGACATTTTGTTTGATAAATAGATAATAGTGTAAATTTTTTATGAATTTAAATTTACATTCAATTCAAAGTTGGTGTATTTTGAATTTGTTAGATTTAGGGTATTGTCAAACTATAGCATGTCACTCCCCACCCAACGACCACTGTCTTCGATGCCACCATCAGCCTCTGACCTTGCTAGCCATTGCTCAATGCTATTGGTAGTCACCCACCACCTCCATCTCCATCCACTACCATTGCTGCGCCCCCCACAACATAATTATGTAAACTCTTACATTTATTTTAAACTCAATCGTTGCTGAAGCATCTTTTAAAATTGTATCAAATAAGACACATCAATATCATTATTCTTTTTCAATTACATGCACGGGTATCTTAGTGATCTCTCACTAGTACCATGAAGGGGTGAACTCTATAATAGTCAAGTATGCACACACAGTCAGTCTATGCAGTTTATATTATTCATATATTTTTTTCAATTCTATTTAAAAATAATGCATAACATTAGAATTTTTAAAATATATATTCATCACAATAATTTACGAACATCTTAAAGAGCATATATTGCAATTATGTTTTACTAACAATCAATGAATTGTGATTAGAAGAAATAATAATTATTATAACTTAAATGTTAGAGTACTTACTTTGAGCTTAGAAGATTTGATTCATAATCACTTAGTCTTATTTCATCTTCTCTGACATCAAAATCCTTAAGCTGTGTCTATTGAGAAAAATAAATGTTTAATAAATTATATTTACTAAGTTAATATTTGGCATTTTGTTATGTTACTATAATATTTAAGTTTATCAATTAATTTATAATTGTATTTTCCAAATCTCTTAATTTCACTTACATTATCTCTTCAAATTTCTAATTTCTCTTTTGTCCTAGTTAATAATTTAGTTTAGCATCATTATTATTTTTATTGTTATTATTATTTCTATGCAAGTAAAATACAATCTTACAAAATTCATAATTTACTTTTAGAATATCAAATTTACTTGCATAAAAGAAAACAAAAAAAATTTTTGCTGTAGATTTTTCTGGATTCCACATTACAGCCGTATGATTTTGATTATTAGCTTAAATCCATTTCCATGCTTTAATTATAATTCAATTAATTTAAATATACTTAAACCCTAACATACTTCCAATAAATTGTTAACATAAGATTTAAACATAAATAAATTATATGCATAGTGATCGGAGTCTACTATGTATAATTTCATTTATAGTCATAAAAGTATAATACAGCAGCAATAACAAGTAAACATATTTTAATACTTAATAAAGGAATATGATTATAATCAGTATATACGATAGTTATCAGAATGAAATAAATTGTTATTGACAAGTCTCTTATTTCACTATGCAACTCAATATCATGTATGCATTTATTTTTTTCGCTTTCATTTTTGTTCTTATTCTTTGCATTATTTAATTTAGAAATATCATAGGACTTTTATGTAGACTTTAACAATGTATTAGGTCGCTATCCAGTTTGTGGGTCATAATATAGCACTGATAAATGCTGGTCAATCTAATATTAACCTTATCAACATCTTATTGATACCAACTGGACTATACAAATATTAATATCAAGATTCATAAATGAATTTATTTCTTACTAATACTTACCTCGTCAATATTTTTGCTCTCCGCTAACAGGTCATCATTATAGTTGTTTACCTATCATAAAGTAAATGACATTTTTTTTATCATCTTTATCTACCATATTAATTTCTTTTGCCCCATTGCCTAATCATGAATGTATCTTTTATCAATCAATTTTACTAGCATGCATTAGAAATACAATGTGGGATGGGATATTCATCAACTATAATTGATTATGCACTTTTATAAAAGCTCCATGCAACTATAAGTAAACATGTAATTCTTTGCACGAATTAAACACTGCTAACAGAACTAAATATAGTCAATATGGATTAAATTTTAAATTCAACACATAAGTAGATTTATTTATAAGTAGAATCAAATATTAGTCCTGTAAATAATTTATTTTTTCATTTTATCAATTGAGTTTTTCTCTTCAATCCTTAGTTCAGAGTCATGACAAATTTGTTTTCTGTGCTTACCTTAAAACTTGATATCTTACATGAAATAACCAAACAATAATAAATCTTCTTAAATCAAACTCAATGTAACACAAGCATATTTTCAATTAAGATTTTATTTGAAGATTACCAATGAAGAGGATGACATTACGGTGTATCTACTCTTTTCATTTTTTAGTTTTCCCTTATTTTGTAAGTTCTCATTAGTATGTGTAAGTTAGAAGATGTATTGGTTGCTATTACATGTCTAATTTGTTTTTTCCTGTACATTCATAATCTGTAGAGAGATTTTAATTTTTATACTGTGCTAGTAAGGACCACCTAACAACTAGTGTTCTACAGATAACCCTTATGATGTTGCTGATAAGTGGCTTCTGAAGGAAAATCTTCCCCTTTCATACCGCCATCAGATTGTAGAATTTATACTCCAAAATACTGGGCAGAGAAACTTTTCACTTGATACATCATTTCGTGATCCTTTCACTGGTTGTAAGTATAAAATTTTTGCACTACACTTTTTACTTGAAAATTTTACTTTCCTAACGTCATTTTTTTAATTTATTTTTTTAGCTAGTGCTTATATTCCTGGAGAAACTTCCCATTCCATAGGTACTTGTCCCTGTTTTTTAAACACAGCATCAAAATGAATAACGCCTGTTCAATATTGCATACTGCATTTTATGATTTTAAATCTCTCAATCAGATTTCACATTCTGTCAATGCAGGTGGCATACCAAAACCTACTTATAAGCATATTCCAAAGGTTGCAACATTCCGCTTTAGCTCAATTTATCAATTTTCTTAATAAAGATCATATTTACATATTGTGACTGATTGCACATACCTATTACTGTTTTTTTCTTTTGTTTAAGTTTTACATGTGATTAGTTTGAAAAGGTATTATGGATTCTGTCACAACCTGGCCCGGTAACTCAGTATTAACTAAACCAGGAACTACGGTCGGACAATATTATTTATTTCTTTTATTTTCCACAGATTTTCTTAACATCCAAATTATAATCGTCACTAAGAAACCACAAAATATATTGTATAGAAATAAAATCAGCCAAAATTAATAAATAGTCTACAAGTAAAACATCTCAAACCAACACACAATAATATCACTATTCAAAAGTAAACAACAAAATAACTATAATCACAACACACAGTATAATACCTATCAATAGTAGTTTTTTTCCTGTGAATTATTTCTTGTCTGTCAGTCATATCAATCTAGTATTTTTTTTGGAAGTAACCATTAATTTTCAAGATTAAATCACCGTGTGAGGAATTACAATCTTTTTATGCATTAAATTAATATACAAATACTGGGCATGGATGTCCTAAGAAAATGTAACTTATTGATACATCAAAGTTTAAGTTTTCATTTTTAATTTAACCATTTCCATTGCAATTCAAGTATTCTCAAAGTTAATAAAACATCAATTTTAATTTTAACTTCTTTAAGAAGTTATATTAGGATTACCGTCATATACTCGAAGGTATTCTCAAAGTTATACCTGCATGTACTCTCAAAATTTTGCACTCGAAAGTAAAATTTTATCATTTTCTTTTTTTATGAGCTGATACATCACATCCCTTGTCAGTACTATCTAGGGGTAATCCTATATGACTTAAGTTTTTAAATTTCATTTCTTTTAATTACATTCTTTTTAAAGCTATTGAACAATCTTTTTCCTTTTTTATCATATTATTTCATTCATTTCGGTAATCTCTTAACTTACAACATGTGTATAGTTATAAAAAGAGGTATTTAAAATAAAAATAAACGTCTCTATTTAATAAAACATCAATTTTTTTAAGGAAGAATGAAACATTAATTTAATAAATATAAGAAAGTATTTACTCACCTTAACTCTTAAGTGATATCATTAAAGTTTATTTCTAATTTTCCTTAGGGGTTTGTTTGGGACAATTGCAGCTTATTAAAAAGCTACTGCGCTTCAGTTGGTTGTCTGTCTGTTTTTTGTAGTTTCGAAACAGTCGTGTTACAATTGTTTCTAAACAAATGACTTTTCCGCCCCTCTAATATAGTGTTGTTTATAACAAAGCTGTTTATACTAGCACATTCTATTCTTGAAAACAAACATTCAATTTGAACGTTATAAATAAAAATTGACACCTCACAAAACTGGGAGTAATACGACAATCAAAATTAAAAAATAAATTATTGAAATAACAATTAATAATACGAAAATATTATTTTTAAAATGCACTTAGTTTATGTCATGAGATAAGTTGTCCTCTTATGAAACTCGCCACGTCCAATAATTAGTGAAAAAATGCACTTAGTTTATTCCTCTAACCCATCTGCTCACCTAAAGAAGCAACAACTTTCTGTTCTTCTCCTCGGACACCTGTAAAACTGTCTCTCGTAGTTATGTGACAGTCTTCATACAAGCAAAGAATATTGTAGTCAACTGTAGCAGTATAATGCTCTGAAGATACCAGAAGTCCTCGAGCTCATTTTTTCTTAAAGTATAAAAAAAAAATAAAGTACAAATCCATAGAAGTAATATTAGTGAAAAAATATTAAAAGTAACTGTGATGTCTCAGAGAATATAGTATAAACCAACAAATCTATCACTTCAAGAAGACAACATATTTTATAAAAAAAATTCTTGATTAATTTTAAAACACGTAATACTGAGCTCATATGTGTCATATATGCATATCATACAAAAAAAACCATCCAAAAGAGTTTTAAAGGTTGTAACACTAAAAAAAGGAGGAATTTATTTGCTTTTAATGGGATTTCACATGTGACAAAAACTAATAATGATATATAAGTCATCCAAAAGACCCTTATGGATGAGTGTCTCATCATTGACCTCCAAACCAAAAAAACTATGCAATAAATATTTATGTTACATATCTTATCCACGGTTGCCTCATTAGTCATCCAAGTGAGAAAAAATACATACAAAAGAATGAGAAATAAAATTGAGATTCAAGAAATAGATTATTGTATAAATCATCGATACAATAAAAAATAGAAGTTTTCACCACCCATTGCAAATAAAGTAACAATAAAAAGTATACAATCGATCCATTCAATAGCCAACGATGGCGTTTGTAATCCGCTCCCTTAACCCTATCATTTCCCATCTTGGGTGTTACATTCAGGTAATTCATTTTCTGCTTGTGATAAAGTTGTCCTAGGCTATATTCAAATACTTAAATTGGAACATATGAATGGACTTCGGCAGTCCTGCTTAAGTTATTGGCACTGGATGGAGGGTCTACCAAATATAGTTATGGAGAGTCTTATGGCTACTACAATCTGCACTTGCTTAGGAAACGAATATGTCAGCATATCCTGCAGTATGACCCATTTTTTCTTCCACACTCCAAATGTTCTTTCAATGACATCACTTTAGGATGAGTGTCTCTTTTTAACTATTTTTTTTCTGCCTTGAGCAACATCGCTAGATCTTTCAAAATCCGTAATGTGATATTTGATATTCGGATCTAAACTTTTTTTGTAAGGGGTATTGAGCATTCATCATATAATATTTATTTTACACAAATACAATAATTAGTAATGCATTGAAAAAAATGTCTACTTTGGTTTTATGGTGAAGCAAACCTAGAGATAGGTGAGGAAAGTTGTACTTCAGAGGTTTTGTGACAAATTTGAATATACGACTGTCATGTCCACTGCATTCACAACCAGTCATAATAAAACTGAACCACATGTTGAAGTCACATATAGCCATCACATGTGTTGATCCACAATGCCCAATGAATTTGGCCTTTTCATTATTCGATTTTTTTTTTTACCAGCCCAAGAGGCTCAATAGAGGCACCCTACCCATACGATACAACACACACAAACACCCCAAAAGAGAAAAGATACGGAAAACAAAAACAAAAGGTACCAAAATCGCAGAAAAGAGTAGCTAGTGACGAGTCAGTTTAGTCCTGCCTCTGCCTCTAGTTCTAGGGCGATATTCTAATAACAAATTGTTGAGTGCCGAGCCATTTCCCGAAGTAACCAAAGTATCATCCATTAGGTTCTCAAGCTGAAGTTTGCCTCCAATCTTCCTCCTCCTTGAATAGACCTGTCATTCCTCCTCAGAAGACTGGCTCATCTGATCATCGTGTTGGTAAACAGAACGCCGGGCAGATAGAAGTTGATGAGCACCAGAAGAAGGATTGTCAACTGTTGCAACGACTGTAGGTTCAAGTGTGTGTGAAACATGAAATGTCTCCACTTCACCTAATGCTTCCTGCAGCTAAGGAGGGTTTGAAAGTGTAGGTTGCTCAGCAGGGTCATCCAGCTTCTCATCGATCCCAGAAATAGTATTTTCAGAGAGAGGATCCACATGAGCGATTAACTCAGACACCATAACCTGTTATGTGGTAGTTTTCTCTTAAGATGGAACAGATATATCAAAAGCAGTAGGGTCAGATCCTTTCTTATTCATTTGATTTTTAGATTTCAAATTAGGATAAAGCTTATAGCATTTATCAAGATTGCGCCCAAACATCATACAATGAGAACAATAAAGAGATTTATGCTCCATAACAATTTGTTATCAATATCCATTGTGAGTTGTGCCCAACCAGACTTCATTAACATCATATAAAGTAATATTTCTTTCAACAAGTATTCTGGCTACAGAAGATCTAATTAGATTAAAAGTGGGTAGATCTAGCTTCAAAAGAACCTAATGGTGAAAAAAGTGCAGCTTAATATTAGGTTGACTAAACCATACCGGTACAGTAGGAGATTTACGCTTGGGGTCAAAATCAGGGGACCTCTTAAGTAGCTTCATTGGTTTACCAGAAATGTTGAGATATTTTTTGGAAAAAATCTCAGTGTAGTCTTCAGACACGGTTAGTTGAATTAATACATGTCTCCCATCTATGAGCTCTACTTTTCACTTTTCTGCTAATTTAAGATCATTAAAACTTTTTCTGATAACTTCCATAGATGGATGTCCCCACTGAAATTTTCCAATAAGAGCAAAATTGAATTTATCAGTAAGTGAAGAAATTTCTAGCTCAGAGAAAAAAAGTGCTGCTTTTCCAGTTTTACTGCTTGCAATCTTGATAAAAGGGAAATCACCCTCCCGTTGCTCCTTATAACTTGAGGGGAAGACAACCGTCGTCTCTCTCTGAGAATTACCCACTACGTGGGCAAAGTAGATTTTGCCAGGTTCAACCGTAGACGAAAGAAGCTCCATCATAGCAAATCATAGAAATCACAGCAAAAAAGCTCTGCTCGACAATGGGAGGCCCTTCAAATGAGTCACCACAAGCCAACACCATCCACACACACGCCACCAACTCCATACCACACTCCACCAACTCCACACCAAACAAATAGTGACATCAAATTTTGAAAGCACAAGAGAAACATTAAAATTAAAATATACACAATAGAAATCTCACCAGTTTACATGAGCTTCTTAACTATGGAGTTCAATAAACATGAAATATACACAGCAAAATATACCATTTTTCATCCATGAAATTAAAGAGCATAGAATTGCTATCATACAACACCCGAAAAATATACCACCTTTAATATATTCTTTATGAAAACAAAATATACAGGCCTGAAACATTGTTGTTAACAAATACACCACAATCTTTCAATAATTTTTCAAATTCTAACTCAAATATTGAAATTCATAATAAAATCTCAATCCATATTCATAACATACACAACACTCGAAACATTGTTGTTAACAAATCCACCGCCATATTTCATTCATTTTTCAAATTCTCACT